GTACGTCAATACTCAGTTCAAGGTCATCCTTATCGAAGAGGAGATTTTCAACCTGGTAAATGTCATACGTGTGTCACAAAGGCCTATATTTCTACTTTTCCGAGCACTTAACACGAGTATGATTGAGAACGGAGAGAGCTCTTATTTTTCTCCAGTAAAAAAATCCACTACCGATGAAAACTCATTTTCACACTTCTAATTTTAGAGGAAAAGTGAGGGCCCATTAGCGTTTAACGTAAGAGACCATACTGTCTGGTCGCAAACACTTTCGGATTCATTTGAACGCTCTCCAATTTTTTTCCGTTTTACTTTCGATAGAATTGCGAACAAAATTCTCTAGCAAATTGCAATAAAACAAATTAGAATACCTATCATAAAAAAATGTGTATTTTATTTTGTTAACTAATCCATTATTGGCAATTCTGTGACACTGGCAGCCATTATGATTAACTTATCTCCAGATCTATTTCTTTTTCTTTCTACAGAATGTGTCTTGTTCTTTCTTTTTCATTTATACCAATAATTATGGGCCTTCCACGCCAGAATTTTACTTTTTTACGGTTTTTCCTTTTTCTGTTTTGGCCATTTCCTGTTTGTCCCGTTTTAAAGCCGAAATACGCGTATTTCCATGAAAATTATACATGCACATTTACATTCAACCACAATTTCTTTTTTCAATGTCCGTCGAATGAAATTCATTATGGCAGACTTCAAAACAAAGTTTTTACTATTTGACAGAAACAATTGCGTGAACACTTGAACGGGAGGAAAATACACTGCGTTTGTATTTGGGAACGGCGGTATCAATCAAATACGCAGTACTTTCTTTTTTTGTCAAAAGTGAAATACTAAAAGTCGAGAGCATCCTCATCTCAATGCTCTATTCCTCCTAGAGAATGCCGGTGGTGAGGCGTGATTCGTCGCTCCTCTGACGTAAGGGCGTATCTAGATTTTTGCATGAGCCTTAGAAAGCATAGAGTTATACGGAGCACAGGGGTCAAGTAGAAATCAAGTTACGCCCTTACGTCAGAGGAGCGACGGATTGATCAATAGTCGATATTTCCCTAATTGAAGATGTGGTAAAGAATCGATTATTAAGAGTTTTGTTGCGAATACCCTATCCTGTTTATCGATCCCTCTCCGTAAGTTTGGCAGATCAATTGATGCATCGCAAAGCACGAAATGCAGAAGGAAGAATGTTCTGGGGATGATGGAAAAATGGAATGGTATTCATATGTATACATATATTAATCAAGCATGTCATCCCTGATATGAGGAAAAAATCCCTGATAACCTGTTACAGTGGAGCTACCGAGCGGTTTCGGCGCACAGAGGATCAAGTCGATCAGAGAAATCGGACATGAAATTTTGATGTTAATTTCGTCACATTTTAAAATTTAAGGGGTGCTACTGGAAGAATATTTCACGAGGAAACCAATAGAATCACTTTGTAAAAACGGAGTTGCAACCTTTTTAAGTTTCCAAATTTTGTCCGACCTCTCCTATTGACTCGATCCACTGTGCGGCGCGTCAAAAATAATTCAAATTAAAATTCTTACTTCAACTCAAAAGGTTGATAAGTTTTAGCCGGTTGCCCTCCCTTCTTAACCTATATGCTGATGTATTTTTAAGAACAAGTGCCAAACCGGCACTACCTAGTTCCCGTTTGTTTCGTGGAAGGTCAGCAAAACAACACAGAAAATGTATCATCAAATAATTTCTTCTACTTACATTAATCTTTTGCAAAATTACAATTTTGTCGATTAGCAGAATGCTTTTATGGTGCGAATGGAGTGGAAAGATCGAGAGGTGCCTGACCTATGGCGAAAATTTCATTACTTGAGTTTGGCATGGAGGGAAAAACTTGTACAATTACTTGATGTTCTTAGAATAGACGCATGCCCTTTTTTAAGCTTAAAAAATAATCGGATGTCTTGATCATCTGCATTTCGCCCTATGACACGCATTTTTGGAAGCGACTTTTCCGCAAAATGCGACTAATACATTTTAAATGCATTCACTGATCCAACCAATTGAGCAAAATTCTTTCCATTTCGTTGGCAGAAATTGACATAATTTTGGTCGAAACAGCAAAGTTTAAGCCCCATTCGAATAAGACAAGTGTTTTTGTTCTGACTGAATGAAAATTACGACATGAGATTCTTTCCTGATAGAAAGAAAGTAATCAATTATTTATCTGGATTTAACGTTGTCTTAAGTTGGTACGCTTTTCTGCAGAGTTCTAAAGGTTCAGATGTGTTAGTTATTCGTCCAAAACCTCATCACACAAGGGCGCAGAATATAGCACATACCTACCGCTGTCTCGCTTAACATGAAATAAAAAAGCATTGAATGCGGACTGCATTTTGCAATTTGGAGCTACACATTCTAACTCATCTGAAAAAACACTTATGTGCATAGAGAAACTAATGACACATACGTTGTTTTTAAACAGGGCTGAAATTTATAGTTCTTAGTTGCAAAATGTAGTCCAAATGAGGCGAGAGCCGAAGTTAAAACCTATCGATTTTCAATCATCTGAACAGTTTCTAAAAGTCCAGTAGATGATTATTGATAATGTTACATAGATCCGTGGATTCATTCATTGAAAATCATGTAAAAAGGGTAATGTAGCATCGCAATCATGATGACTCCATGATCACCTCGAGTAATAATTCCTCGAGGGATAATTTTCTAGAAAAATCGAAGTGAGCGTAGCGTCCAAAATTGTGGGATGCAGGTAATCTTTGACAACACACGAGCATATATGGCCCACAAAGTTATTAAGACAATTTTTGTGAAATAATGTGTTTTTTCTTGAAAATTTTTGCATTGGTTAGGTTAGGTTAAGTTAGGTTAGGTAAGGTTAGGTTGGGTTGGGTTAGGTTAGGTTAGGTTAGTTCAAGTTAGTTCAAGTTAGTTCAATTTAGATCAGATAAGGGAAGTATACGAGTTTCTATCATAATGAACTTTAAAACTAAGAGACGTCTACTTGCTATTGGACTCCACGCTCAAGCAAAGAAGTGAGAAGTTTAGCGATGAGCATGGAGTCCAAGATCTTGGACGAGATGAGCAGGCAAATATATCAAGGGTGAGCATGGAGTCCAATATCATGGACGTGATGCTACATTTCCTTTTTTAGCGCACAAGAATCTCGCTCAAATGTGTCCGGAACGAAACCTCGTAATGTCAAACTCAATCCTCCGGAACAAATTTTAACTTTTACGTTTTATTTTTTGTGTCGCTTGATATGTCCGGAGAGAAACAGGATTGTCGTCACAACCGGCGGCTGCTTGTGACTACCATCCTATTAATTCCGTGTGGTCTCAAATTTCCTAGAAAACACCCGGATCCGTGTAGTAACGTTGAACAACATAACTGCCCATAAAAAAGGGGAAACAATGAAAGAACCTGGTGAAACCAGAATGAACTATTGAATTCTGAGCTAGTGTGGGCGATACATCCATGCAAAGTTTACATTTACGGAAAAAAAGTGTCAGGAGTTATCCCCCAAAAGTTTTCTACTTCCCGAATTTGTTGGATGATATAGACATTTCCAATTAATTTTGACAGCACCACAACTCAAGTTGGGATATTACCGCAACATTTGGGTTCACTGGAAAAAAAAACACAATGGATCTAGAGTCCAGACTCTTAAAAACATCGACAAGAAAAAATACTCTTGATTCAATCAGATTTAAGTTTAAATCAAGAACCAAGCCTCGCTTAATTTGAGCGGATTTCCTTTAGATCTGCTTAAATCTGCTTGAATCAAGAGTACTTTTTCTTGTCGATGTTTTCAAGAGTCTGGACTCTAGATCCAATGTCTTTTTCCAGTGTTAGTAACCTAATTTATCGGGATACTACCGTAATTAATTGGGATACTACCACAATTGGACGTTTTTTTTCCAGTGTTAGTAACCTAATTTATCGGGATACTACCATAATTAATTGGGATACTACCACAATTGGACGTATTTCTGCCAAACGGAACTATGTGCATTATGACGTGAGCCTTGTTATGCATTTATTCTTATGGGTCTTAGGGCTCATGTCTTAACGCACATAGTTCCGTTTGCCAGAAATAAATCCAATTAATTGGAAATGTCCATATCATCAAACAGTTAGGACTTAACCCCTACCTCTTTTTCTCCGTGTTATTAACCATTGGAAAATCGGAAGAGTTTAAAGGTTTAAAGAGATCAACAGAAAGGGTTTCATTAAACTGGAACATTCAAAATATTATCATGTTTCAATGAGAGAAACGTAAATGTTGCAAAACTCTATTGCTAAAATGAGCTTAGAACTCATAAGCAAAAACTTCTAAGGGAGGATTGGCTTTTCCTAGGGTTTCATGAAAAATGAAAACCCAACATTTCTGGATCATTATTTATTATTTAAACATTCTTTTAAGAGTTTAGAATAAGTGAAAAAATCGTTAAGCTCAAGCTAAAGCCAGGAAGGAAGTGATGATCTCTAAAATATAGCAAAATGCAACGAAAATTTTTTTTATAATTACTTCCCGGTCCCATCTAAATTGAGCAACATTCTTTTGACTTTACGCCGCAGATATAAATGAAATTTTATTCAATTCTAGGGGATACAACTGAATGAAATCCCCAAATTCTAAAAAAGGGGCACAAAAAGCCGATTAGCCTTTTTTCGACAGGCTCGCTCAGGCTGTTGTCCTCTGCTCGCGTGATAACTGTATCTGTTTTTTCAAAACTTGATTTTTACGCAAATGCTCTCTTTTGAAACACGGCAATGTAGACTGCTGCGTAAATGCGGCCGAGCATGATTCGCGAGTGTAACCTTGAGAGAAAATATGCGTTTTCCATGAAAAATTTCCGTAGCTTTGGCGAACATGACGCAAGAAGTTCTATCCTCCCTCGTTCGCATTCGAGTTTTTCTGATATTGTAGGGGCGGGGAGGGGGGAGAGAGTAAAAGAGAAAAATTTATAAATGCGCATACCATGGAAGAAACTCCAACAGTTTTTCAAATTCCAGTCGATCGTGAAGAGTAGAGGTGTCATCTTGTTCGCTGTATGAGCCTTTGTCCACCGATCGGCAACCCTTCACGGGGTCATTAACTGTTGATAACTACTGCGGCATCTCTTTCAAGCGGTAAGTAACAGACCTCGTCTACTTGGAAATAACTTCAAATATTTTTCTTCGGTTTTGAGTTCTACATTTTATTTCTAGGCCGGCCAAGACTTCAAAATGGTCAAATCCTAACAGCGCGATCAAGGAGGAAAGAAAATTCAAAAGTTAGAAGTGAACTGTAATAATTGCCCTGCGATAATATTCGGCGAGTATGCTCTCCTCGAAAAGTTTTTATTCTCTCTCTAAATACCCTGAATAAAAAAGTTCGGTATTTTTTACCGAACCCTTCGCTATACGGTTGTTCGGTGGCACAAACCTAAGTATTGGGTTTCGTGGACCGAACGGCATTACGGCACTTGGAACGCGTATGACCAACCGAGTTCGGCAAGGTTTCACCAAACTTTAAAGGTCATGGAAACTGATCATTCGGTAATTCGCACCGAGTTCAGTATATATTCGGAGAAAGTCGGAAACGTTCGGTTGGCGTCTGTGTTGATTCATAGATATGTTCAAAGACGGTTTCCTTATTCTTGCCTTTGTCTCTTGTTAATTTTTGAAATCCATGTTGATATTTTTTCTGTGAGTAAATTTTCCTTTAAACATTTGTTTCATCTATTTTACGTTCCCAACTCCTTGGTGCATTGAATAAAATTTAATTTATATCTGCGGTGTAAAGTCAAAAGAATGTTGCTCAATTTAGATGGGACCGGGAAGAAATTATAAAAAAAAATTTTCGTTGCATTTTGCTATATTTTAGAGATCATCACTTCCTTCCTGGCTTTAGCTTGAGCTTAACGATTTTTTTACTTATTCCAAACTCTTAAAAGAATGTTTAAATAATAAGTAATGATCCAGAAATGTTGGGTCATTCATTTTTCACTAATTTTATGATTTATTAATCGTATTTCATTTACTTTATTTTATTTATTTTAATAACTATTTATCCGTCCATATTTTGTTTTATTTTTTTCACGTGTTGTTCATTACTAATTCCTTTTAAAAACTCGATCTACTTAAATTATTTTCGTATCCTTCAGTGTGAAACTGAATGATGTACCTACGGAATTGCAAGAATATCATTGCTACCAATCATTGAACCAGATGTGGGGACGTTCATTAGTGTTAAATTAGCCTCTACCCCCCCCCCCCGAGCGTCCGTGGCACATATTCTTGGGTACTCAAAGTCACGTCACTGGTACTGGTGTTCGTGATATAAAATAAACACAATAAACGTGTAGCGCGCCTAAATTTAATCATTTTGGCTGAAAAATAATCACCAAAAGTTCGGTGCAACGAACCGAATAATTCAGATAACCAAAACTGAGACTATTCGGTAGTTCCGGTACCGAACTAGTTAACCAATTTATACCAAGTAGTTCGTGGTTCCATACATGCTCCTAACCAGAGACAAGAGACCCTCCACTAGTATCTTGGCCATGGTGGAAGCTTTTACTTTCGGGACTTCAGCATTCTACTGTTGACTTACCTACATGGTTGATGTTTAACAACGTGTTGGCAGTTTCGTTTCGCAAACAAGCCGAAAATGGCCAAAGTTTAGGAAACTTGTTTGGCTCATGACGTCACCCGAAGCTCATCATCGACCATGTGGGTAGGTCAACAGCCGAAATTAGGGTGATGACTGTTGCTCCCTTATAATTGTCCATAAGGAACTGTTGAATCCCCGAAAGGAAAAGCTTCCACCTGTCGTCAAGAGGCCAGTGAAGGGGAGCTTGTATCTGCTCCTAACTATCTAGTTTGCATTACCGAACTTTTTTACTCGGTCTAGTTCTTTCGGGTATTCGGATCCGGCGGTGTGGCAAAAATCCTCTTTCCATAAAAAAAGAAGAAGGTTACAACTCGCAACTCGCAACAAGCAACTCGCTTTTCGAACATCGCGTGCCGAACCAAAATCCGTGACACAACTATTTCAACTCGTGAGCTTATCAAATTTCATCCATCGGGATAAAAGCTAACTTGATTTCTCGCTCCCGTTTTTAGTTATTCAGATGCTGAATTCCAACTTTCGCTCTACCTCGATGGCACTTTCAAACTGATTTTGTACGTAGAGTAAACGTTACCGGACGCTCCGCTGCGATGGTCATTGAAAACACGAAGATCACAACGAAAGTCGCTCGCCATTCGAACATAGTGCTAAACTAAACTCCGTGATACAACCATCTTAACTCATGAGCCGCTCAAATTGCACCCATCTAGTTGAAGGCGAACTCTATTTCCCACTGATGCTTTTACTTATTCAGATATGAGTGCAAGAATGGTATGAAATTCTAACACTTGCGACTTATCTCAATAGTACTATATCAGAATTGTTTTCGGTCGGAAGAATCGAGTAAAAGCTACCGGACGTATCGCGGTACGACGCGACGGTAATTGATAAGGCAAAGATTCACAACGAAATTAACTCGTTCTTACCTGGATTTGAAACATCGGAAATTGCATGGGTTTTTAAGGCAAGAGGGGGAACTTTTTCAGCTTAATAAGTATCCGTTTAATATTGAAAATACAAACTGCTCACTCTGTAATTTAAATGAGGAAGAAGACACTTTTCATTTCATCGCAAAATGCCCCATATTGGCGCCATTTAGGCGCATGTACCTATAAAAAAGATAAGCTGGATAAAATAGAGTTTTTTGAAGTATTCAAAAAGGACCATTTAAGGATGTTAGCGCTTTATTATAAGTATGTGCATGTGTGATTATCGCCACGGGCTAGTACAAGCGTTTAATTATTCAGATGGTGAAGCACTGTACATTGAAAGACATCTTTCTAAGCTTTGTATTTTAATAAGTGAAATCATAAATTTTGTGATTTTTATTGAGAACTAACTTTTTTTCAGAAGGGAGGAATTTTTTATTAAAAACTAATTTTTTAGGGAGGAATTTTTTAAAAATTAAAAGACTTATATTAAACTCTTACTTATATAGACTTATATTAATTACCGCGCAATGATATAACTATTTGAACTCTCCGGAATGCGTGAGGTATCACGCAGCATTTGAAGGCGTTTTCAAAACAGCCAAGATCCGTTATCGGAATAATCGTTTTGCACAGTTCATATTATTTTCTTTCCATTTCTAACCACTTGTTTAGTTATAATCCTCCTATAAAAACCACCCATTTGCTAAATACAATTCTAGCTGGAGCGTAGTTCAGCTATGCATTCACCACTGCAAAAATGTCAAAGGAAATCGACACGCCCAGCGTGCATGGAGGCTATTTCGATTTAAATCTTCCGTCACATTCTTACGGCGCAATGATACAACTATTTGAACTCTCCGGGATGCGGGAGGTATTACGCCGCATTTGTAAGTTGTAAGATGAAAAAGTTCCAGTTATTTCTGTTGTGCATATAATGATTTTGTTCCAAAATGTACATCCATTTCTATTTCTAGTGTAAGCAACACCATTTAGAGTTTTTGTGATCTGATTTTGACGTGTCTCAAAATGAGATTCGAATTTGTGTGTTATCAGATGAAGTTCGCCGCAGCTCTGACGGCGCTCTTGTCGCTAAGCTTCATTGCGCAAGTATTCGGCGGTTACTTCATAGAGATCGCTGGGGAAAACCCTAAAGAGGCGGGCAAATTCAAAGGTGCGAAACAACGTATAGATGCGGAGCAGCCTGGCGCAGACAATGACGATGCGCAATCCTGTAAAAGTACCACAGAAGGCAAGTTATCCGGCCTGACGGGTGGACTGTATAAATGTTCAACTACCGCGATACAACCAAAGGTCATCTCTGTCACGGTACGCTAACACTAAGTCCTTATCAATCGCCCTAAAACAGATAGGACTAATTGGACAACATTTTGCAATTTGGAACTATAAATTCTAGCCTGGTTAAAAAACAACGTATGTGCGCTATGTGCCATTAGTTTCCATATGCACATAAGTGTTTTTCCATAAGAGCCAGAATTTACAGTTCCAAATTGCAAAATGCAGTCCAATTAAGCAAAAGAGACATCGACGATGTAAGTTCGCACTCACGTATCTCGCTTTGCGACGCGACGTCGCAGACTTCCTGACATACTCCATTTTTCAAACGGAAAACCAATCAACGGTAATGCTTAAAAACTGCCGTGATTTTTCTTCTCTGCGCGAAGAACATTCTGCGGAAACTTCAAGGAATGATGTCGATTTGTTCTCCTTTAAAAAAACAATTAAGGAGCGGAGATTTTCAAACACTGGAAACGAGATGCCTGTTTGCGGCCTTAAAACGTCGATCGATATTTAAGTTGAGAGCTATGGAAAAAACCTTTGTGCATTAGACTAAGACTAGCTTTATACCTTGGTGGCTAAATGCATGCGATTCGATTCAGAATAAGTGGCTCTGTTATGGTATTTTTGTATTATTTTAAAGGCTCGTATATTTTATTTATCGGGTGTTCGGATTCCTTTAGATTTTTGTGAGTTCGTGCTCGTAAGTCTTTGTTATTGATTAGTAATACAATGTCTACCTCACACGATAGCTACCATACAAGGGCTTACGCGGGGTAAGATTTTTGTCAAACTACGTCCTTGGTTCTGTATAATTTTCAAGCGGGAAGCTCAACAATACGAGAGCTGATGCACAGATTTTGGAGTTAAAAGTACCCGCTAAGCATATCATGATGTTCGAGCCTATGTTTTCGCAAGGGGTGGTTGGCAACAACATTTGGACTGCATTTTGCAATTTGGAACTATAAATTCTGGTTCTTCTGGAAAAACACTTATGTGCATCGGGAAACTAATGGCGCATGAATTGATTTAAAATCGGGCTGGAATTTATAGTTCCAAATTGCAAAATGTAGTCCATTTTTTCTCGCTCTTGCAAACATGTGTAGCAGGCCTCTACTACACTTACCGCACTACCGAGTTATGTGATTGCCGACTTAAGCCGTCGAATTGTTTTCTGGTGTCATTCTTAAGATTCGCTACTAATTAAAGTTTGTTAAAAGGAACTTTAGGCTACTTTTAAAGTGAGGGGAGTCTTATTCAGTCTTTATTCAGTCAACATCCGCAAAGAATAGTTTTGAATCAGTGATTCGCCAACCACGTATCTCGGAATTCAGTACGTTGGACCTTAGTTCCACTAACACATAACTCGGTTTTTCGGTCATTTCTCCTGACAGACGAGAATATTATTCAAAATGATGATAGAGTCTTATAAAGTATCTTATCCTTGCGGTCTTCAACAATTATTTCCCCTCTACCCTCAAAAATGAGGAATGTAGAGAGTTTTTTCCCCTCCCCTGAAAAATCGCGTTTTCCGAGTTATGTGATTGCCGACTTACACCATCGATATATAACTCACCACAGCAGTGCCTTAAAAACCGGATACTTTCAATTGATTGATTAATCGACGATCGAATCTTTATTTAAAAAAAAAAAAAAAAAAAAAAGAATAATTCCTGGATAAGGAGGTATGTAAATAAATAAATAAAAAAAAAAAAAAAAAAAAAAAAAAAAAAAAAAAAAAAAAAAAAACCTGGATGGAGCACATTAAAAACAGATTTTCTGTGTTTCAGGTTGCGATGAAGGGTGAAGGAATGAAGGATGATGAAGTACGGGATATGATAGTCCAACGCACCGTCAATGAAGAAGTACGTTGCGTAACGGCTCCGAAGGATCGGCATTATTCCTTTTTGGAGCAGGCCTACCACGGGGCGAGCTTCTTCATGATTTCAGGCGCACGGCTAAAAGACAACCAAATTCTGACCTTTAACGCAAAACAGGTGACAAAGCTCCCCGCGGTGATGATGATTGGATTTGCGCAGCAACACCCAGACTCCCCAGGATTCTTGCAAGAAGATACCTGTACCACGCGTAACGAAATAGCAACTGCCCCAGTGTTCGAGCCATATCTCCCTAGAACCAAAGAGGAGGTCGCGGCACTAACAGGATTATTCTGCTGCAACGACCCTTTGCTTTGTTTCGGCGACAAGAGAGCCGATGAGAGGGTAAAGATTATGAAATCTGTAAACATTGTTATCGATAATATCTCGACAAAAATGAAAGAAAAAGATTATCTGAGGACTCCAATATCATCCAAATCGCTTCAGCGTTCGGGATCGCTTCAGAAGTCGGGATCGCTTCAGAAGCCGGAATCACCAAAAAGATTTGATTCGGGTAGAAAGTCAATCAAGAAGTCAGAGTCAAGGAACGACGACGAGGTAAGTAGAATTTTTGGACCTCTGCATGCATTCGTATGAACATTCCAAGTCGCCGAGGCCATCGCGAGGATAAATCGTCAACCACCCAAACAGCAAATTCGGCCCCCTTCTCCTTCCCGCTCAATGAGGGGTTAAGAAACTAGAAAAAGGAGGGTTGGTAACAAAGCTAAGCTAACGGATAAGAAATGTTCCACTGTAAAACTAAAAAAAAGATTCTCATTATTCCCAAAAATAAAAGCAGCACGGCGAACATGTACAACAGAAACGCATACAGCGGTTATGTTAAGAGCTATGTATGAGCTTTCCAACGATTCATTGATATTTCGGAGAGGGGCAAATGTGTCGCAAGATTTAAGCTTTCGAAGTTCATATGATGCAGTTAATGAGGTTGCAAGGCATGCCTTGTAACCTGCCTTGGTATGCCTTGTTGGATGATAAACGACATGGTATATCATCCAAAAGTACGTTCCTGTTATAATAATCAGGAAGTCATGCACGAGAGCCTGTAACCAATCCATGTTTTTGATCCATTTTTCTGTAGATAAACCATTTATTTTATTCCTAAATAAAGGGAAAATAAGAAATTTCCCAATGAATTTGGCAACTGTGGGTACAAATCAACCATGAATTGAAGCCCTTTATACGCGCTATCCTAGCGGTTCCCAACCTTTTAGGCCGTGGACCACCTTCTTCCGAGAGAGGAGGCCGCAGAGCACCAACAAAAAGGAACGGTTTTTTGGGGGGTTTGTTTTTTGAATTCGACTTATCACAAGTGCTATAATAGAAAAAAGGTAGGGGGGAACCACCTAACAGTTACCAAGTCAAAGACAAGGAACAAAGCGTTGAGGCTAGCATCTCTGCACCAATTTGTCATTATACATACATAAAAGCAGCTTTCATGGCGCTCTTCGGCGCTTTGCGACACCTAAGCCGCCCAAGTCCTGCATCTTCCCAAAGCCTTTCAGGGAGTTGGCACTCCCTCATTCCCTCTAAAACCCCCTGTCGCCACCCTTTCACTAGGCGTCCCCTCCGTCTCCGTCTAAAAGGGACATAATCGAGCAACTGCTTCGGCAGCCTTTTTACCCTTCATCCTGTTGGCACGACGATACCAGACAAGCTATTTGGTCATGACGTCGGATACGATGCCATTTTCCTTAGAGTACCTTTTTAGACAGAGTATGACCATTTCTGTGCCGATCTTTCATTGGTCGCCAGCAAATAGGCTGACACGATGTTCCTACGGCCGTAAATAAACAAACAAGATGGCTGCTATCAGCACGCAAGTTTGAGGTTATGCACATCATACATCCTCCTGTGATAAAGACGAAAGGCGATTTAACAGTGCTTTCATGTGTTTTTCATATGTTATTCGTAGCTATGCTATTCTAAATTGTTACTGCCGTATAATTGAAATTTTTTTCAAATTTTAGCTTCTCATCAATGTTACGATGAGTCTCCATCTCGTTTGGTTGTTTACGGCCGTAAGATCATCTAGAAGCCTAAAAACTCGTTGACCAATCAAAAAGCGGAACAGTTTTCCTGTAGTTTAAAGGTACAAATGGCCATACTCTGAAAAAGTTACTCTAATTTTCCTCTCCCATGATCTGACTCGCTCATCATTGCGGACCCGATCTCTTCTAGAAATTCCAGCCGACCGGTGGATTCTTCATCATCCGGATTAGTATTAGAAAGTTGGATCCTCAGCTCCGACTCTGGGTCGATCAGTCCAGATTATGTAGCGCTAAAATTTTGAACTTAGCGACTCTATTAATACTAGCCTAGGGGTTGCCCGTGCCCGTCGAGGCCTTCGCTCCCATTCGGCTGCTTCGAACTCGCACTATCTCTACCGTCCCCCGTTCCCGTTCGACTCGAATACATGATGATATATATATATTCGCTCCTACAACTCACTCTGGCGTCCTGCGATACCTAAACGCCACAAATGCCTATCCTCCCAGAGGTTATCAGGCAACTGACACCGCAACATCTCTTCGTCAACGCCCTGCCGCCACCCCTTTACGGGACGTCCCCGTCGCCTCTTCCAAGGTGGTACCCAATCCAGAACTTGTCTGAGCAACCTCTCCTCCGACATTCTTTGCACATGTCCGTACCAGCATAGCTGCCTGGACATGACGTCGTGCACGATATCTTATTCAACCTGCATCACCTGGCGAATTCTTTCAATATGGACACGGTCCCGTCACGAAATACCGGCAGATCATCGCCAAAAATCCATTTCAGTTGCCCTCAACATTTCCTGCGTTCTTTTCGTCAAAGGCTACACTTCGCTTCCACCCTGCCGTGCTAAGGAAGAACGCCGTATAAACCTTCAGGCGTTGCCAAGTTTCCTTCGATAAAAACCGAGTTTACTGAGATTGTTGTGAATAGTTTTTTTCAAAATTCTTCAACAAATTTGTTACGCAATTTGATCTAAAATATCGGAAAATTTAAAAAAAAATGTGCATGGCTGTTGCCAAAAACACATGTTTTATCAAGGGAAATTTGGGAACTCTCGGATGTTCATACGGCCTTTTTCCTGAGCACGGCAGCATAGAGCGCGATACTTTTGGAATGGAATAAAGTGGAATCTTTCCACGTCCATATTAATGATGATAATTTCAAATCAATCGAGGTTTGAATTCGTCACAACGACAAACAGACTTCAATACCAAAGTGACCGTGAAAATTCTTCCTTTCCGCAAAAAATAATCTTTTCCGGTCTTGCTCCTTGTCTGCCGAAAAATAAAAAATATCGGCGAGCTTTCGCGGACCACCAGTAGCAGCCCGCGGACCACCGCACAGTGCGGAATCCCATGGACAATCGAAAATTGACCCTCATATTTTCTAAATATTTGTGATCAAGCAAGTTTTCGGACACGAGGGCATACTTTTTTTTTAATTTCCTCCGAAAACCCGTCTAGATATGGGTTTGAAGTGCAAGTTAATTCGATCGAAAAGGAACTGTCCCGTAAGAAATACACAGTATTTTGGTTGTCAACTTATTTAGATAAAACTTTCTAAAAAACTGGGAATATCCCTTTGGAAGGTTGACATGTCCTCATTCTTTGGACACTCAATTTTAATCCTTCAAAAGAACTTTTGCAACTTTTTGCAACTTTAGGAGATATTTGCATTTAAAAATTGGTAAAACCAGGTTAAACTCAGCAATTTTAGTCGCAATATTTAGTTTCATAACTTTTAAATATACGTGCATTTAACGGATAGCCTCTTTTGGCCCATTGCGCTGCCTCTCAGATGATTGAGAAAGTCAAAATTCGTTAAACAAAGGTCCTGTGGAGCTCAACTAGATATCTAATGCCTTTTTTGGTTCCGTATATCTATTTTAACGGTGCCCTAGATTTTGTCCACACCGCTTATGGAAGTTTCGCACTGCGCACTGGTTGGGAATTGCTGCGCTATCCACTCGAGTTAATACAGCAATTCGATATCTTTAACTGTGAAAAAGCTATGTCTGCAAACGTGTTTGGACTTAAAATAATGGCAACGTCGCGTTTCGGGGGTTGTTCTCAAAATCAACGCCGGGCCCGGAGTCAGGAAGCACCGTTCTGCGAATTTGAGCCGAGTCTGAAATGCAACTAACAAACTGAGTTCAGAGTAGTGCGAATGGCGCGGGCCCTCAAAAATCACGTCAAGTTGAACTTAGAGCATTTGAACTTTGAAGTAGAAGTACCTGCATAGGGGTGGGGGGGGCA